GCATACACGGTCACGGTCACCAAGCCAGCATACACGGTCACGGTCACCAAGCCAGCAGATACGGTCACAGTCACCAAACCTTGTAAGCCAACCAAGACACACCACGGTGGTGATGGCCACGGTGATGATGGCCACGGTGATGATGATGGCCACGGTGATGATGGCCATGGCGATGGTGGCTCCAAAGAAGGTGGCCAAGGTGATGATGGCTCCAAAGATGGTGGCCACGGCGATTCTGGCTCGTGAAAGTGCTAAGTTGGACCATAAGAACCAGGGCAACAAGTAAGGAGGTATGTAACTCACGGACCATATTAACTCATTGCAGCAGCTGACATATCAGGGGTATCCGTATTTGGATCAGGTAGCTGTCAGGAGTTGGCAGGACTAAGGACTTCGAGTGTTAGCCCTAGCGGCACTTAACTGACTCGGTTTTGAATGCTTTTGGATTGCTGGATTATAAGGCAGTTTGCTTTTTCACTTCTCTAAAAGTCGCTTACTCTATGGCTTAGTATGCTCTTTTTGTTATAGTTTAAGTCAAGTCACTTTATTATTGGCTTAGGTAAGAGCTTAGGCTACTGAGTTGGGTGTCTGATTGCTTAATAGTGATCTTTTCAATTATGCTTTTTTGCTGCAGTTATTGATTATAGTTAGTTACAGCTTATTAACAGGTATCTAGCCGCCTCTAGATTAAAAATTAAATTATATTCCTTTAAGAGATATTAGTATCTTATAATTTTACCTAGTTCCTAAAACCTTAAGTCTAAAAGGGATTTTATATACTATTAACTAGTATATAAAGATAACTAAGGGGCATATAGGTTAAGGGCCTAGTCTTATAGTTTAAAATTAATTATTATATAATTAATTTATTTTACCCTACTTTCCAGGAGTAGACTTTATTTTTAACTAAGGGTAAATATAATATTATTTACTATTATTATAAAGCCCTTACTACTAGGGCTATTTAGAAGGAGATAAATATATAGGCTAGTTCTTAACTCTAAATAGGATAGGACTTATTTTCTTTAAAGTAATAATAAGAAAATAAAGACTTGTATGTATTACTTATTATAATAATAAACTAGCTAATTTATCTTATTTTTATATAAGAGTTTAATATAATACTATTATATTATAAGTTAATTTACCTTTTTTATATCTTAGAATTTACTTTTTATTATAATATTAAAAAAATACTTATTTTTATAACTAAATTAATTTAAAATTGAAATATATATTATATAACTATTTAATTAAATAAGGTAATTTTAAAAATATACTTTATTACTTATTTCTTTTTCTTTAGGTTTATAAGTTAGTCTTAAAAGGTATATTTAAGTATTTTTAAAGTCTAAAATAATTTAAATATTAATTATATATTAAGAGGTAAAGCTTTATTAAGTTAATATTATTATAATTAGCTATTTTAATAATAGCTTAAACCTAGCTATATATAAACTAGCTAAAAAGCCTTACTTTTTAATTAACTTTAATTTTCTTCTTATAATTTACTTTAAAAGTTTTAGATAAATTATTATAATATATTATACTTTAATTATCTAATATTATTATACCAGCTATACTTTTTATTTTATTTAATTTCTTAATAAATAGGCTAGTTAATTATTAATTAGGTAATAATAATATTTTAATTATAAATTATCCCTTTTTGCTAAAATTACCTTATAAAAGAGTTTATTATTCTCTAAGCTTTAATTAATAAAATATTATTAAACTTACCTAGCTTTCTTATTATAAAATTATTATAATAATTCTAAAGCTTTTACCTTAAGCTACCTAGGAATAATAATCATAATAAGAAATTAAGCTAATATTAGGCCTAATTTGCCTATTATTATTATAAGACTAATTAAATTACCCCCTTATAAGAAGGAATTATAATAAACCTAAAAGATATAACTTAAATAATATTAAAATCCTTAATAAATTAATTATAAGTGATTTTTATTTTTATAAGCTATTTAACTAATACCTAGTTAATAAGATAAAAGTATTACCTTTAAGGATATAATTCTTTTAAAGAAATACTTATTTTATTAATATTAATATAATAATCCTTAGCTTTAAGAATTATATTTAAATTAAAATTAATTTAAGCTTAAAATAAATAACTTATAAAATAAGTAATAATAATTAAGAAATAAAAATAACTTAAGTATATATTAAATAAACTCCTTATAGGAATATCTTATTTATAGCTTAATATTATAAGAAAGACCTTTTAAAGAAGTTATTAAAGATATTATAAGTCCTTTTTTAATAAGAGTATTAAAATTAAAGTTAAAAATATTATAAGATTTATACTCTTAACTATTATATAAATAACAGAGAAGTAAATTAATAACTTAAAAAGAGCTTTTAAAAGAGTATTAAAAAGATATAAAAGAGATAAAATATATATTTTATTTGCCTTAAATAATATATTATAAGAGGGATAAGATAAATAAAAGTAATATTATTAAAAGTAAATACCTATTTATTTTAAAGAAATTAAATATAATTAAATAGCTTTTAATAAATAAACCTCATCCTTAATTAAAGACTTAGGGAATTATAAATTATATTAGGCTAAACTCTTAAAGTAGATTAAATAATATCTTAAATAATATCCTTAGGAATTTTATTATTACTAAGATTTTATAAAGAGATACTTATTTTAAGATATTACCTTAATATAAAGGGCTAATTAATATTATACTAAGTTAACTTAAAACTAAGAAATATTATAATTTTAAATAAAACTAAGTTTTCCTATCTCTTAATAATTAAGTAATATATATTAGGTATATTAAAATAAAAATACTTTATTAATTATTAAGAGATATAATACTTTATATTACTTAGTATTATGCCTTATATTATCTGTAAATATAAACCTAATATAAACTAGTTTACCTATTTAAAACCTAATTATTATATATTAATAGCTAGTAAGCTAAGTTTTATAAAAGTATTAATAAATATATCTTATATACTAATAATAGTTATATAGAAGTAATATAATATAAGGTTATTATTAATTCTAGAATGATATAATCTTAGAGTATTATTATTATTATACTTATTATTTCTTTTTTTAATTAGTTACTAGGGTGGAGTTTTTATAAGGTATATATAATATAACTATTAAAATTATAATACTCTAAGTAATTTCCCTTTTAGCTTATAAAGTAAATTTATCTTATAATTAAGAAAGCCTTTATTAATTAACTAATAATAAGGCTATATAAGTAAGAGGATTTTATAATTAAAAATTACTAATTTAATATAGTAAGTATTATCCTCTTTTTCTTAATTTATTTTAATTTTTATTATTATTTTTTTTTTAAAGTTTATAAGTTAGCCTTAAAAGGTATATCTAAGTATTTCTAAAGTCTAATATAATTTAAATATTTATTACCCCTTAGCAGGCAAAGCTTTATTAAGTTAATATTATTATAGCTAGCTGCCTTAATTATAGCCTAAACCTAGCTGTATATAACCTAGCTAGAGGGCCTTGCTCTTTAGCTGGCCTTAATCTTCTTCTTATAATCTACTTTAAAGGCCACTTTATCGCCAACCCCTGTAGATACCATACTTAAATTTTTATTATTATATTATAAAGCTTATTATAATTATCTTTCTTAATAGCTTATTTAATTTTATAAGTTATATTATAGCCTTTTATTAAATAAGGCTTATTAGGATTAAGTACTTATAGGCTTCTTTTAAGTATTATAATAATAAAGCTATAATACTATTAGTAATTATAATTATAAGATATATAAGGGAAGTTAAATTAAATTACTTATTATATAATAAATAATTTAAGTATAATATCCTTTAAAGTAAATTATAAGAAGAAGATTAAGATTAATTAAAAAGTAAGGCCTTTTAGCTAGGTTATATATAGCTAGGTTTAGGCTATAATTAAGGCAGCTAATTATAATAATATTAACTTAATAAAGCTTTACTTATTAAAAGCTAATAAATATTTAAATTATATTAGATTTTAAAGATATTTAAATATATCTTTTTAAGGCTAACTTATAAACTTAAAAAAAAAAGTTTAATTATAAGTTAAAATATTAATTCTTTAAAGATTATTATAAGAAATTAAAATTCTTAATTATATATTAATTTATAAAAAAAATTAAATCTTTAGGCTAAGTTTTTAATATTACTTTTATTAAAGTATTTTATTTACTTTTAAATAAAAAAGGTTAAATATAATAAATATAATTTTAAATAGGGAAACTAATTTATATTAGGTTTATATTTATAAATAGCATAGGGTATTAATACTAAGCAGGTTAGTTATTATATTTCTTAATAGTTAATAATATAATTTAGGCTTATTAAGGTAAAGAAGTCTTATTAATAGCTAGTAAGCTAAGTTTTATAAAATACTAATAAATATAATTTATATACTAGAGGTAATCTATAAGGATTATTAAGGCAGTTAGATTATAGTAATCCTAGATTATAATAGTTCCTAGAGTATTATAATCCTACTTATAAGGTAATTTAGTTTTAATTAATTTATAACTATTAAGGGGCTAATGCCTTATATAAGTTTTTATAGGGTATATATAATATAACTGCTAGGATTATAATATAATCTCTTCTCTCTATTAGGTCTTATCTTTAAGACCTTAAAGTAGGCCTAGTTTATTTTTTATTTAATTAGTTTTAATTTATATCTTTAATTAATTTTTTTTATTAATATATTACTAATAAGATATTTAGTTATATTTCTAAGTTTATTAATTAAAAAACTAAAAAGTATAAATTTTTAGTTAAAAGTATTAAGCTATTATATAAACTTACTAATATGCTATATTCTTATTATTTTAAATACTAAAAGGAGTATTTAATAATAGTAAATTCTTTATATTATAGTAAATATATTTATTAAGGGCAGTCTTATAATAATAGTAGGGTGGCATCTTCTTATATATAATTTTCTTTTTCTTATTTACTTAGTTTTACTAATAATTTTAGTTAAAAAGCTGATTTCCTAAGAGAAGAAGTTAGATAAGGATAAAATAAAGGCTAATAAGGATGTTTTAAAATTTTATAAAAAGTTAGCCTTATTAAAGGCATATATAGCTATAGCTATTAGTTATTTATCTTAGATTTATAAAATTAAAAATAAAGTAAAAGAGTATTATATATCTAAGTTTTATTATAGTATTTAGGGTCTTAAAGGAGAGGATAAGCTAGCTAAGGAGTTAAGTTATTAT